AAAAGAAAAAAAAAGGTCGGCAGGAAATTGGTATGGAGTCTGGCCTCGATTGGTATGGAATGAATGAATGAATGAAAAGAATGAAAGGAGTGAATAAATGAACAGATGGATAAATGAATGAATTATGGAACGTGGGTGGGACAAGTACCGCTATAGTGACAGTACGTTCTATTCGGGGGAAGAATGTAATAGAATGGAAAAATGAATGAAAAACTAAAAAAAAACGAAGAAAGAATGAACAAAATGAATAAATTATCAGGATTAATTAAAAGGAATGAAGTAAGAAAAATGAATGAACGAATGAATGAATGAGATAATAATATACGAACAGAATGGAAAAATGAATGAATGAAATAATAATATACGAACAGAATGGAAAAATGAATGAATAACTCATAAAAAGCGAAGAAAGAATGAACAAAATGAATGAATTAATTAATATGAATGAATTAATAAAAAAATGAAATAATTAATTAAAATGAATGACTTATCAAATACTAGTAATACGAACGAATGAATGAACGAATGAATGAATGGATGAATGGATAAATGAAATAATAATCGATTGGTGATATGACTCAACGAATGACGATTCACTGCACCAATGAATGAGCGAGCGAGTGATTAAATGGATAAGTTATATGAATGAATAGGTGAATGAATGATTAAAAAAAAAGAAAAAAAAGGGTAAAAGTAATGAAAAACAAATGTTTAATCAATCAACTTGCAAGTGAGTACTAACTGATTTTAGTGAGCAAAAATGTGTGAACACTGAACAATGAACGAGCGACTCGACTTCATACGAAAGAAATCAGGGGGTTGATTGATTATAACGATGTACTCAGCAAGTTATTATTATTTTTTTTTTGCAAGTTATGAACTCTAACATGATTTAAAAATGACAAATAAAAATAAAAAAAATTAAACGAGTATAGAAAATGAACTACTGGCTTGCTCTGAAGGGAGAGAGAGCGGGCCTTGACCTGTGCGACCTACTACCCGACTACTGTGCTCGTACTGCAATCCGTTAAGCTACGGCTACTTTTGTGTGTGTGTGTGTGACACTGTGTGTGTGTGTGTGTGTGTGTGTGTGTGTGTGTGTGTGTGTGCACCCACAAGCATATCTACTGCGTAGGAGTGAGCGCTCATAAGAGAATAAATGAATGTGACATCTCTAAACATACTATATACATAGCACATACATAGTACATACATAGTACATACATAGTACATACGTAGTAGATAAGAAGTACATACATAGTAGCTTAACCTCCTTCAGGGAAAAAAACATCAATCGATCCATCAACCAATCAATCAATCAATGAATCAATCAAAAATCCATCCATCCATCCATCCATCCATCAATCAATCCATCAATCAATCCATCAATCAATCCATCAATTGAAATCAATCAATCAATCAATCCATCAATCCATCCATCCATCCATCCATCAATCAATAAATCAATCAATCAACCAATCAATCAATTGATCGATTAGCTGCGGTGTGAGGTTATGATCCTACTGTGGTTTTCTACCGAACACGATGCACGCTCATAATGAATGTATACAAGCTATCTTTCCGGCCTGATGCAGTATAGCCGGACATGTGTCTCGTCATTTGCTGCGTCGCTGTATCTTCCCTGCAAAAGTGAAAGAAGGAGAATTGCAGCAACGGGAAAGGAAAAAAAAAAAGACGGTTGCAACACAGGGATTAAACAAACCGATAACAAAAAAAAAAAAAAAAAAAGGAAAAAAACTTCAAAAAACTTGGAAAAAAAAATAAAATGATCAATTTAAGAATTTCTGGTGCCAAGAATGAAGAAAATTGGCGAAAAAATTCCGAGGGATAGGTGAGAAACAAACGACCAATAACTCTCACTACAACCCTTTACAAAGTTATATCGCGAATGTTGGCCAATCGAATGCAAATAACCCTTTCGCACATTATTCACCCTGATCAGACGGGTTTCCTCCAGGGCAGACAGATTCTGGACACGGTGATGTGTCTGTCAAGGAATGCAGTATATTAATAGAACTGAACAGAATGTGGGAGTACTACTTCTCGATTTCGAAAAAGCATACGATCGAGTAAATTGGGATTTCCTTTTTTTACTATTACAAAGACTCAATTTTGGTCCTCGTTTCATTACATGTGTCAAAGCCTTGTTCATAGGAGCGACAACAATTTTGCTGATTAATGGCAAGTTGTCTGACCCAGTAACTTTGTCCCGGTCTGTACGTCAAGGGTGTCCCCTGRCCCCCTACCTCTATATAATTTATATAGAAGCTTTGCATTCAATGTTGCGAGCTGATTTACGAGTTACGGKTSTACGATACCCRYTTCAACAAGAAGCCAAAGGCCAAGCCTTCGYTGATGACACCTCCTTATTTCTTTTGCTACAAGACTCTGTTTTTTCGGCCTTAAAAGACGTGATTGWTTCTTTTGCTGAAGTATCTGAAGCACGAGTTAATTGGCAAAAAACGGTTCTCCTTGTGCCCTCACATTGTCAACCACCGATACATTGGGGAATCCAATGTTTATCTTCGGACATACCATCCAGATTGCTGGGTTTTTATGTTTCCTTTGATGGACATATTGGCCAAACGACCCATGACCTTCTTCAAAAAGTCAATAGCACATTTCTAACATGGACTCGTTCGAAAGGGGTGTCTCTGATTGGACGTGTGCTTACCTTGAATAATGCTATCTTCTCCAAAATCTGGTATGAGCATGCCATATCACCACTGTCGCCTGTGGTCTATAAACAAATAAAAAAATCAGCTGTTAATTATATCTGGAACGAAAAAACAGGAGAGTGGCACTTCATATCCAAGGTATCATGGAGAAAAATAATACAGAAAAGAAGTCAAGGGGGTCTGGGTGTGCTGGATCCGGACCTTCAGATCCGAGCCCTTCTCACCAAGTGGCCTATTCGGCGCCTTTTCGCAGACAGACAAACTACATGGAAAGCGCTTGCCTACTTTTTACTAGCACGAGACTTCGGTTTCTCCTCTAACCCGGATATAATTATATTAGCTCTTTTCACTGACGAATATTGCAGAAAGCGAGCAATCTCACCAATATGGAGAAACATTTTACAGGTTTGGAGGACTGCTCTTCCTAGCAAAATTGCACCAGTCCATAGCTATGATAGGATATTACAAAACCGATTTTTAATAACCCCTACATCCTCTTAGAAGACCTTCCTTTTCCCATTTCTGGTCCATCTGCATTTGGCCACTCCTGGATGGCGCGAGGGGTTGCCACTTTAGCACATCTGTGGGATTCCCCCGCGAAGAATTGGAAGACACATGAAGCAATGTCAGAGCAACTGCGCGGACTGTGGAATTAGAGGCATCATCTGGATCTCATACATATAGCTCTGCCGCCAGAGTGGGAACAAGTGTTGCAACAGGAATGTTATCTACCAGGTACTTGGCTCAAGGACAACTCAGAGATCAGGCCAACCTGACTGTGGAGACTAGAATATCAAACATCCCCGACTCAATGGGAGATGACAAGCTAGAAAGCTAATGATGGATATACAGGTCTTGGATCATTTTTGCACAGATCAACTGTGGCTCCAATTATTTCGGGATTGCAGGATTTGGTTGCTGTTTGCGTACTGGAAGACATTCAAAGAGCACATACCACTTATTGATCATTCTGTTTAGAAACACCTGCTCAGGATCTGCTTCTAGATCCTCGAGACTGGTACTGGGATAACCCCAAGCAACCCGGAACTGTTGTCCCATTATTGCGACATACTGCTCGTTTTGCCTATTCACTAATGCAACCGACTTGTGATATTGATTGGGAGATTACAAGAATATGGTCAGCTAGGGGTTATGCTATTATTCCGGACAGACTGAAAGCTTTCTGGAAGATGTTGCCTACTCTGATGGTGACGAAGCATGCTGGACTTCTTTGGTCAATCATGCATAATGCTGTCCCCACAGCGGAGATGTTATTCCGTAGACGACGGACATGTTTGCCTTTCTGCACAGCATGTCCGTCTGTACACATGGTGGAAGATCAATGTCATCTTTGGCAAAGTTGCCTCATTGTGCGACCAGTTTGGCAACATTGTCAACAACATTGTATTTTTCCGAAGGAGTGGGGTGTGACATGGACCTCAGAAGTCATTTTATTTGGCTCTGTCATCCTTTGTCTTACCAAACCTAGAACGT